GAAGGGAAGGAAGAAGGCAAGACAGACCAGGAATCAGCTGCAGTAGTGGGCTAATGATTACGAACCAATTAAATTCTTTTTTCCAACGCAGAATTTTGATGTTGATTTTGTTCAACAAGGCGGCGTATATTAATAGAAGTTTACAATACAGAGTTTCCTTTTTATGTATTTCATCATGGTGAGCTTTACTTTTGCCTTATACTGTACATTTTAGGTCAAAAAGAGATTAATTTGTGATTTCAAATCATTTGAACATTAGAATATTGTGACTCAAACTGAAAGAAATTTAACATGTAAAAATAAAGACTGTTAGCATAAACACAGCGCAACAATAGCTAATTACTACTAAAGATAAAGTGGCAGAGCGTCAGAGTAAGGGAGAAAACTTTGACTGAAATCTAAAATCGACTCTAAAGCCTACAGTTTTTTGTCTAATGTACTGCATCACTAGAAAAAAAATTTTTTTTAAAATTATTCAGCGTAAATCAAGATTTTAGATTAGGTTTCTACAAGTAAAATAGGACACAGTTTTTTATAAAGGAAGATAGGGTTGAAAAAGGATCCTGAGAAACTTGCACATGAAAATACAACTTTAAGGAACTAAAGAAATTTTTATGTGCATAATGCATCTTGCCACATAAACTGATACTTATTCCCATAAAATGTTTTTTTGGCTCTCGTTTTTGCAAATCTTTTTGGTCGTTAGACACTAAGTCCTTATCCTTACTGTAATAACGATATTTGTGAAAAATCTCTTATTATAGGGTTCTCGTAAGCCATTATTAAGAATGCAAACAGAGTTAAAGGCTGCCCAAAATTGCATGGCAGCTAAAAAACAGCCGTGCAGTGATAATAATAATAATGAAAGGGAAGGGGAACAAAGCAATATTTGAAACACCGGGGAAAAAATCCAAGATTTTACGACAAAAACAAAAAGGACCTTGCATTTTTCCAACTCTCACCTTGGATATATTCCGTAGAAAAAGTGGCAAAAAGTTCCGTTTGAATTCTCGCCCTCTGAAGAGGTACCAAAAAAATTTAAAATGTCTCCCATCTAAAAAGTAACTGGAAAGTTAATCCCAAAAAGTCAAGCTTATTTAAAATCCAAAATTACTCTACGGCTCATTTCGAAAGGGAGGAAGATAAACGGAATTCCTAATCTGAAGCAACGCTCTCCTTTCATGGAAGGTTTTTGAGGGTGCATAATGTTTTTCCTTTAAGGAGTGCTGAAAATGGTAGAAAGAAAGGTTTAAAGATGAGGGAAGTATCGAGCAATACGGAGTCAGAGCGAATGGATATAAAGAATTGTTAACTAAAGGGAGCACAAATAATTGTGTGGATGAAATTTTATCAGAAATGCTCGACTATTTTCAACTATTCATTTTCATTCTTTTTGCACATCTTGCCAATCATTGACTGAAATTACACCACCATATGACGCTGGGTGCAGTCGTCCAAACACCAAACTTTTACGCTGGTTAATGAAAAAACAACGGGGCAACAGCCCCCTCCTGAAATGCCTACTACGGCTCAGATATCAGTAAGCATTAGAAAATCCAAAAAAATTGAGTTAGAGTTTGGGGATAACAAACTGCCTTTTTGTTTTACATTTCTTTGATTGCAAGAAAAACTGGTAGACTTCTTAGCACTCTTGCCTTCTTCTGTCTTCTTCATCAACACTTTACAGTACATTTGCATGCTAATCCCACTCTGATCTCTTGTGTTTGGAAAAAATTACTTTCTTTAAAAAAAAATGACTTATTTATCACAAATTTTTAAGTTTTTTAATGACAAGAAATGCATAGTTCAACATTATTATTCACTACCTTTCAGTTGACGAAGTTGGAATCAGTGGGGTAGAATTTGGAGATATAAATAATCCGGTAGAGGTGCTACACGCTGGCTTAGACTATTCTTCAAAGAATCCTAGACAAAGAAGTTGGTCTCTTGGATCTTACCCTAAAGAACAGCTTTACCCCAAGATTCTTCAGTCATGTGTCTATGCAGACGCTGTATAGGCTTATAAGGTAAGCATTCATTTTATCAATGATTTTGGTGACAATTTAAATGTTTTACAATTCTCACAAGAGGTGGCCCGAATAAATTTTAAACTCGAAGGAAAAGCAGCAACAGCTGTTATTCAAATTACCATTTTTATTGTCTGCTGAATTTTTTCAGACATTTATACTAACTATAGTACTTCACTATAAAATTCCATGTCAGTTATTGAATGGCATAAAGGGTAACTAAACAGGCCCTAAAAAAAAA